GAATTATAGGTAGTCCTCAATTTACAAGAGTTTGTTTAGTGACTGTTCAAAGTTACAACAGAAAAAAGTGACTTATGATCAGTTTTCACATGACTCATTCCCATGGTCATGTGATCAGCATTCCCATGGTCATGTGATCAAAATTCAGACACTTGACAACTAACTCATATTTATGATGATCGCAGTGTCTCAGGGTCATATGATCACCTTTTGCAACCTTCTGAGAAGCCAGATTCACTTAACAACCATGTTACTAATTTAACAAGTGTAGTGATTCACTTAACAGTGGCAAGAAATATTGTAAACTGAGGCAAAATTCACTTAACAACTGTCTCGCTTAGCAACATAAATGTTGGGCTCAAGTGTTGTAAGCCGACGGCTATCTGTACGATGCCCATTTTTACTTCAATATTTCCACTCTATGCTTTAAAATGTATATTGCAACATCGTAGATGAGGATGGTGCTCTATTCAATGGAATGTACTGTACAGAAATAGCTAATTTCTGCTCCTTTCTTTATTGTCTTCTTATCCCATATTGTAATAAGAAAATCCCTTTCATTTCAGTCCCTTTAAAAAAAAATTATGGTAGCAAAGGCAACTACCCACTTCAACTTAAAGGAGACATAAATAGTAAAGATTTTTTTCAATGGTTTGATTTGCTGATACATATTTCAATGGATTAGACCAGTCAGCCAAAATTCTAGGAATTGACATCCACACATCTTAAAATTGCTGAGGTTAAGAAACACTGGATTAGACTATAAAATTGGCTTTGACTGCATTGAAAGGATATGCTGTCTTACCATTACTCAATTTTCATAGATTTCTGATTTCTCTCATAGCTTAACCACATCATACAATAATTGTATTAAATCTCTTGCATTCTAGAAAACCAGTAAACTGTGTACAGAATTCAGAATTGAAAATTATTTTTATGGTAGCCATCTATTTTATTATCCAATAAACCAGATGATTAATTTAATAGCAATCAAAAAGATTTTATTCGTGATCTAATCCTCTTAGTGTGTATTTATGGGAAAAATGAGCAGGAAAAGACATCACTTTGTACATTGTGGAATTTTTTATAGAGAGAGATGGGAGGCTAATATTGGACCTGGAATATGTAATAACCTTTTTTTAAATATGTAAAATACCTCCTTCGGCAGAGTAAGCTAGAGAGAGGACATGTGAACACATTCATTTTAGGTAAATTAAAAACATAAATTAATAGAGTATTATTATTGAAGTTTAAAATGTTAGTTATAGAAATTAGCTTACCCATTTTGGAACGCTTCATTTTAGATTACTTGAAATTATGCCCATTTAGAAATACTATATTTCAGCTAACATCAGTGGATGTAAAGTTCTACAGACAAATTCTGGGGTGATTCTATAATATGCATAGAGAGAGAGAAGTAAAGACGTTGACCTCTTACTTGGAAGGTTGAGAGTTCAATCCTAGGCAGCAATAGATGTTTCTCTATCATGGTTCAAAGAGAAAATATCTGCTGCGAACTTCATGTAGGCATTAGGAAAGGCATCTGGCCAGTAAACGCTCAGCTCCATTCAGTCACCCCAACTCCACCCCGAAACAAAGGGATAAAAGGGTCATAAAAAGAAAAAAAAGGAAATCTCATAAGCTTTTTATTGAAATCAAATGCTCTTATGAGATCACCATAAGAAAGGACTTCTCTGTTTTATGGAATAAACTGTATTAATCAATAATGGTTGACCCATGCCCATGAGTATCCTCAGGAGAAGTGAGAAGGGACAAACGATATCTGCACTGTGATCATTACATAAATGAAATAAAGTACTGTATATAATGTGCATCATATGTATGAAGTTGTTGTTAGTCACGAAGTCATGTCTCACCATCACAACCCCATAAACAATGTTCCTTGAGACCTTCCTGTCCTCTGCCATCTCCCAGTCTCCCAGAGTCCATTTAAGCTCACGCCAACTGCTTCAGTGATTCCATCCAGCCACCTCATTCTCTGCCGTCCCCTTCTTCTTTTACCCTCAATCGTTCCCAGCATTAGGCTCTTCTCCAGTGAGTCCTTCCTTCATGTATGAAGTTGCACTGATGCATAAAACATCACCACAGGCTGAAACAGGTTGTAAATTATTCCTTTAAGAATAAGCACAACAAAAACCCTGTTGGATTCACCCAGAAAAACTAGCTAGCTGAGCATCTTTTTTCCCCACCACTTCTGCTATTTGTATTCCATGATATTATAAAACATACTTATCAATAAACAAATAGAGCTTTGGATATATTTAACAGATAACAATCTAAAATTAATACATAAGTTTATAAACAATTTCTTGAGTCACTTATATCTGATTCAAGAAATGTTCAATGTGAGTCAGACTTTTTTTTCTCCAAAGTTACTGAAGTTCACTTAGCTAATAATGAACAAGACTTTGCACTATTTGATATATTTTTGTTCAACAACACTACATGCAGCCCCCAAAAAGGAGGATCCTGGAACTGTTGCACAGACCTCATCCATCACATCTCTAGCTTATCTGTTAAGTGCAACCTGTTATAAAATAGCATTAGTGTCTGCCAAAGTATCTCACCAAAGTCTCTTTTGATGATTCTTCTTCAATGTCGGTGATGATCCTCATCTGGATTTGCCACAAATTCTTCTAGCAAGATGCCTTTTTTCCTCTAAAAAATTAACATTTAGAATAGCGAGTACATTATAGTGCCTTTTAGTTTTCAGGTCAGTCCAGGTGATAAGAATGACCTTTACAACTGAAACATCGTATTGAAAATTCTGATACTGTATATAATATTTACAAATGGGAATGCAACTCTTTCTTTTATATAGTATGAGAAAATGCATTACTTGCATCTGCTGATTGGACTTTCTGAGAAGTGATCTACTACCTGGTTACCATGAGTTCAAAAAGTCCTACCCACCCAGATATTGATTGCAGAAAGTACGATTTCAGCAACAGAGTGGTCAATGTCTGGAACTCACTACCTGACTCTGTTGTCACGTGTTCAAACCCTCACTCCTTTACCCTCAAACTAACCTCTGTTGACCTCACCCCATTCCTAAGAGGTCTGCAAGGGGTGCACAAGTGCCTACCATCCCTGTCCTACTGTTCCCATTTATTCGTACCTATTTCATGTATATATACTTATACTTATTCTTATTTCCATTATATTGTAAGCGTTTGACAAATCAAATAAATAAAATAAATATGTAACTATTGCAGAAAATAGTTTGATAAATTGTGTGTCATTCTTATCAGTAACCCTGAAAGAAGAAAAAGCAGAGATTCAGGAGAAAGTGGAATTTTAGCACACTAAGTCTTGAAAGGAAGATGGGAAAGTTGTCATATTTGGAGGTTGTAACCTGAGATCTTAAGAAATTTGAAAAAGAGAAAATGTAATTGTATACTTTTCCTAGATATGCAGGCTCATTTTATCACAGTTAATTCTCATCCATGTACCCTTGAGGTTTTAAAACGATTCTGCCTCAAAATATATAAACGCCACTTATCTTTTCCTTTTAAAAAGAAAGCAGCGTTAACTTGCAGGTAGAATACTGATTTTTGCTTCCAAAGCAAAAGTTTTCAGATATCAAATGTTTTTAAGGAATGAGAAATTATGGATATTAATGAATGTAATGCAGAAAACTAAGGTGTCCTTGATGGTAGCTCTTGCTGTCAACTTATAGATAATTTGAAAGTGTTAGTGCTGCTTCTGTTAAAATTGTGAGGGTGGAGAATGCATATGACTCCTGTTTCAATTATAAATGCCAATTCCAGCAGCATTCTACACTATAATTTAATGATTTCTTTGAATCACTGTAGGAAAATATGGTTTTTTGAAAACCAACATTCCTTGGGTGTAATAAAATCACTTTATTTATGGAAGAGTGTTCCATTTATAGATGAACAATTAAACTGAATGCTGATTGAAAAAGTCTTTATTTAACTGGGGTCCTCATGCATCTTTATAAAAAAAATCATAATGCTATGATGCAAACTCTGAAGATTGTATCGACCCTAGCTTCAACACATGCATTTGATTTCCATTTAGTTCTGAATTAAGATCATGTTCTATTTTCTAGCAATTCAGGAAGGAAAAGACAATGGAAAACCAATTTTACAACCATTATTTGCAAAACATGAGAATACAATAAATTAGAGTGAGATTCTTAAATTTTTCTATGTTTTCTTCTCAGCTGGAATTGTTTGTTCCTTCCTTTACAGGATTCGATACTAGCATATTACCTATCTGTAAGGATTCATTGGGCTGGATGTTCAACAAACTGGATATGAACTATGACCTTCTCCTTGATCACTCTGAGATCAATGCTATTTACCTTGATAAGTATGAACCATGCATTAAGCCTCTCTTCAACTCCTGTGACTCCTTCAAAGATGGAAAACTTTCCAACAATGAGTGGTGTTACTGCTTTCAGAAGCCTGGAGGTAATTGACCAAATTCAACCTCAGAGAAAATGGATTACAAATCAGTATGCTATACTTTACTTCCAATAAAATTAAGAAGAAAAGAGGTTGTGATGCTTTGTATCATATTTATAACCATACTTCCACAATACAACTGATATGGTATTTAATGGGAGGAACTATCATCTATCTCATCTATCTATTCATCTCAAGAGTAGTGTTCGCATGTTAAGTGCCTAAGGATGCCAAAATCCAAATATCCAATATTTGAGTCTAGTGAATAGCAGCTGAGTTCCTGAATAGTACAAGGAGCACTGTTATGTCCTTTCCATGTGCACCACAATGTACAGAGCCTTCTCATTTCTTTAATTTTGTTTTTATTTATGTTTATAATATTTATTGTTACATCTTAATAAACTCAAATAAACTCTGGGTGATTTTATAGGGTAAAACTCTTCAAGATATGCTGTCTTTCACCACATTAGACAATCCTAGTAAGTACTTTTCGGCTTTCTACTTCATGTTCTGTCAGCCTTTTCTTGATCTTCCGTTCTCTTATTGAATATTATTTTCTTTTCTATAGATGTATCTGCCTTCATGATGCACCCAAAGTTTTACAGCTTTTGTCTTGTGATTTGATTTCCAGTGAATACTTGGGCTTGTACTAAGTACTAAGAAGTTGGCTCAGTTGGCTCTCAAAGGAATGCATATCAGTTCTTCCCCCACCATAGGTCAGAGGAATTAATCTTTTTCCTCTCACATGATAAGCCATCCCTCATGTCTGTACTTCATACAGAAGAAGACCAGTGAGTGGACCATTCTAGCTTTTGATTTAATTGGAAAGTCCTGATTTTTCATGAGAGTTATAGGATTCCAAACCTTTTTGCTCATCATTAGTATTATCCGATTCTCTTTTACATACTCCTCATTTTATCCATTCTGGACCCTAGAACTTTGAAGCCTAAACTTATATCTTAAATTCTTCTAGCCTTGATCCTTACTTTTTTGATATTCAAAGAAAACCCTACATTCTCACTCACTTGCTTTAGTAATAGCAACAGCACTTAGACTTATATGCTGCTCCATAATGCAGGACTCTTTGAGCAGTTTACAATGTCAGCATATTGCCCCCAACAAGATGGGTCCTCATTTTATCAATTTTGGAAGAATGGAAAGCTGACTCAACCTTTAGACAGTCAGGAGCGAACTCCTAGCAGTGAGCAGAGTTAGCCTGCAGTACTACATTCTAATTACAGTGCCACCAAGGCTTTCCTTTTAGAATGATCAGTCTTATGTCTTTTTCAGTTTCTGCCTCAGAATTATCTCAGGTCATTTTTTTTTTCTATTGATTTTAATACCATTTGTTAAAATTAAATTCCATTCTCATTGTGACATTCTGATTATTATAGAGACTTCTTATCAGAAGAATCAGATAGTTGATTCTGACATCTGCTTATTCAATAGCCATTTATCTCTACATAAAGTGCTTTTCAGAAGGATTTTCAGCTATATCTTGTTGGGATGTAGTATTAAAGCTATTCTGTAATTCTTTTAAATCTCCTGCTTTATGGATTGGGATTGCCCTTTTCCAGTCTTCCAACCATGTTTTTTATATTTTAGTTAGTAGAGAGCTATCATGATCCTTACTGTTTTCATACCAGTTTCATTTAAGCACTCTATGGCAATTTTATACACAATGGGTTTTCTAATTAATAATTATTTTATAATAATCTGACTTTCTCCTCAGGTACGACCAATTTATCATAAACTTTTTTTGTCTTGAATACAATCTTATCTAAGTTGATTGTCTTGTACAATTCGTTCATTTATTCCTTCCACCATTTTAAACAGTACTAGACAATCCACGATTCCTTGGGTTACTGTTTCAGATATATTTTCTTACCTAAATGAGAAACAGAATGACCACGGGTGGGGGAGGCGGGGAGAACAGCAGGAACAGGAGCAACTTCCAACTCCTTGCTTTCTTCCCTGTTGACATGAAAGTGACACAGAGCATTGGAAATAGCAATCATGTGTCCGTAGTTGACCCAGCAATGTGGAAGCATGGCAGCACTGAAGCAATCACAACTTTACCAAATTTAAATGCTACAGGAGTAATGGGTCCTGCAATTCATCTCTAATGATCTAAATGCTAAAGCCCACTGTAACTACATAGCCAAAAAGGCATTAAGAGTTGTTAACCTAGTCCTACGTAGCTTTTTCTCTGGTAATATCACACTACTAACTAGAGCATACAAAACATTTGCTAGACCAATACTCGAATACAGCTCATTAGTCTGGAACCCACATTACGTATCTGATATTAGCACAGTTGAAAAAGTCCAGAAATATTTCACAAGAAGAGTTCTCCACTCTTCTACTCGTTGTAGAATACCTTATGCCACCAGACTTGAAATTCTAGACCTAGAAAACCTTGAATTACACCATCTTCGGTCTGATCTAAGTATGGTATATAAAATCATACATTGCAATGCCCTACCTGTCAATGAATACTTCAGCTTCAACCATAACAACACAAGAGCACACAATAGATACAAACTCAAGATTAACCGCACCAAACTTGATTGCAGGAAATACGACTTCAGCAAGAGTGGTCAATGTCTGGAATACTCTACCCGACTCTGTAGTTTCTTTCCCAAACCCCAAAAACTTTAACCTTAGACTGTCTACTATTGACCTCACCCCTTTCCTAAGAGGTCTGTAGGGGGCCTGCATAAGCGCACCAATGTGCCTACCATCCCTGTCCTATTGTTTCTTTTATTTTTCTTATATGTACCCATTTCATGTATTCATAACTATGTATATACTTATACCTATTATCTTGTAAGCAATTGACAAATCAAATAAATCAAATAAACAAAAATAAATAAAAAAAATAGCCCATTTGAGATACATTGATTCAAAAAAAAAAATTTCCACATAATGTACCATTTCACTCAATTAAAGCTTACAAACAGGAGAACTTTAGTGGCAATTTTCCATCATTAAATCCTTTTCATTCATGTTCCTTAAAACATGAACATGCTGTTGGATTATTTCTGCAATTTCTTTTAATTCTCCTAATCCCTTGTTCTTTGTTTTTGGTTTTTCTCCTCCTCCATGTTTTTAGGAGCTTTTCAGCTTTCTCTTTTCATTTCTTTCCACAAAGTTTCAGGGTATTTGCCCCTGACCTCAAACTTACATTCCTCAGGAATAGGTTACATCTGATTGAGATTTGATTCTTTTTAGTCTTGTTCGGTCTATAGCATGTTTCTGTGATTTTCAGTTGATATTCTGATCCACATTCAGCACTTTACAGTGTTTTACAAATCAACAGAGGATTTTCCCATATGTTGCTTGCATAAGATGTAATCTATTCCATTACTGTGTTGTTCATTTGGATATATTCAGATATATAGCTGTCATTTGGATTGGGAAAATGCATTAGCAACAAAATGATTTTTGTCATCAGCCATTGGCCTGTAGGTTCCTAGTTCATATTTTCAAATAGTTTTCAATGGAGATTCCTTTCAGACTTTTTCATCAAGTCAATATTTATAGCTTGGTGCAATTCATAAATTGAATATAGCATAAACATTCTTTTAGTCCTTTTCTGCACCTTTTGGCATAGCAATTAGTCCCATAACTGGTATACTTTCATTCTTGACTTATAACATTGTCTGCTCCTCCAAAGTAAATTGGATTAATAGAAGATTTTCCATACCCATATCTGTTTATTGCCACCTGTATCCCTTTGAGAGGGAGAACAAAAACATTTATTTATATGCAGAGCTTATTTGAGATCAAGGAACAGCTTTTTCCCAGATGAAAGAAAGGTTTTCTGTAGTATAGTAAATTAAGATTATTTTTCTGTGAGAGCAATGATGTCTATTTTGGAGCTGTTTTTCCTATCCAAAAACATAATTTCAGATATGGAAGTATTTTGCTCTTTTCCTTTGGTTGTTTCATTTACATTCTTCATTTAAAGAGAACAAGGGAAGATTGAATGGCGGCTTCGGAAAGACACCAGCCAGACAGTCTCTAATACATTCAAGGAAAAATTTATCAAATTTAATATATTCTTTTTCATCTTTCTTTTTTTCCTCATTTCATGATGTATTAGTCTTTTTCATGCCATTCTCCCCTCTTTAATATGCTTTGTATGTTTTGAATCCTAATATTTCATTTTGAACAAAATACTCACTTTTCATCCACATTTTTCCAATTTACTATTCTTTACTTTCTCCAGATTTTTCTTGCTAAACTGCAATTTTGTATAAACATAAACAAAGCTATTATTCCATAAGCAAAAGACATCCACTCAGGACATGGAATTAGAAATCTACAGAGTATTCTGCAAAGGTTGGGAGCCTGTTTCCATGTCCTCAGAAGCAGCTCTATATCAACATGACACCTTCTCCATCCATCTGTTTCAATAATAGCCTAAACAGGAATAACAGATGCTTTGGGGCTGCTTCTGAGAGAAGTGGAGAACAATTCCCATCTGCGATATCCCATACAGAGTTTTGCAAACAATCTTCAGTCTTCGTAGACATTCAGCTTATAAGTAGGGAAGGAAGACTCAGGAACACACCAAAAAGGACTGCCCTTCTCCACGGTAGGAACAAATGTAAATCATGCATAGCCTGCTACTCAACTACTACAAAACACACCATGTTCTATCACATGAGGACTTTGTTCCATTGATTAAGCAGCAGGGTGCTCCATAAATACCCTGAGAAATATAGATCCTGGTCATCAGTTGCAATTAAATCTTAAGAACTGCTTCAGTTGCTATTAGTGTATAGCTTAGAAAATTGCATAAAATGTGGAAATTAATTGACAAGCCAGTGGTAAATTAGCATCCTGTTTATATCAGGCTGATGAAGAGAAATGGGGGGAAGTATTTAACAATAAAATGGCCCCCAAACATTATTTTTAAGCATAACGGGTTGTGCTTTTTTTAATTGGTAAAGCTAATGCCATGCATTTGTTCTGCTATACTGTACAAGCATATGTAGTTCATTAATTCCCAGGTGATCATTAGGCTACACTGCCTGTCAATTGTGAAGCTAATCATTAGAGGGTCTGTCTCTCACCATCTGGAAACTCATTCTCATGAATTATGTTTTAGGCCTCCCGTGCCAGAATGAGATGAACAGAATTCAAAAGATGGGCAAAGGGAAGAACTTGATGGGTAAGTTTAGCGATTTGCTTCCCACTCACTCACTCAATCCATTAATTATTTAATAAATTATTATTACTAGAAGTTCATAAATGTATTTATTTATTTTTATATTATTATCTTTCTCATCTGAGCAGCAAACAAGTTACAATAGAACAATGTAAAACATAAAACGTACAAATACTACACGTTTAATTCAAAAGGAAAACATCAGACAGAATAAGAAATACAACATATAATATCAACCCACTTGGGCTTAACTAACTACATAATTCTAATGCCTGGGCAAACAACCAGGTTTTCAGAAGGCAAGGAGGGTTGGATTCAATCTGATCTCAACATCAGACATAGCCCAAGAACAATGTAAAGAAATCTAACCAGAGTTCAGCTCTTTATTTCCTGAAACCATACAGACAGGATCTTGCCAGACTAAACCTATAAGGTGCTAACCCAACTGATGTATCATAGAGATTCTACAGGGCATCAATTCTACATATCTTCCTCTTCCCACAATCCAACTCTGTACTGTGCTGCCTTTTGTCTCACCCCTATCCTTGGAACATGCTCTCTCTTTCCTGGGAACCTGCTGCATTACTCTCCGTCACATGGCAAGGTGTACTATAGGGCAGGTCTGTGCCAGAAAAGGCACAGTTCCTAGGTTCCACAGGTTGGCATTCTTTAATTGATGGGATCCAGGTCTAATGTATTATATGATGTAATCAGTTCCTATTGAAATAGCAATGGTCCTTGTTTTTTCCACTTTATAAAATCACAAACAGAACTGAAGAATAATATATGTGATTCTTGACTTGACATCTTTATAGCAAAAGGACATTGCCTTCTTGCCAAAATATCAAATCAGTAAATTAAATTAATTTTACATTGGATACAGTTAGATATATATTTGTCTTATTGGTTTAGAAATCTAAAGCATAAGAAAAGAACTAAAGCTACATTCACAATCATACTAACTTTAAGATAAGGTCTACTAAATTCAGTTGACCTTCCTGAGTCAACATGCATAAATGGTACTTATTAATTCTTTTGCTTCCTTAAAGACTAAATTGTACTTTTTAACAATATTATAATGCTAGAAATATCAAGACACTAATAGATGGAACATCTTTGGAAGCTGAAGAATCCATCTGTTAAATTGCAGGATACTAATAATGGAGATTTAAAATCTATAATTGCATTATCTTCTGTATTTAATCATCCATGATTAAAATGAAGTAATATATTAGGAAAAGAATTTGAAACGAATTGATTCAGATGAAGGTGGCATGAAATCCTTCCTTTCTTTGTTGCATTGTTTCAGCCTATTGATTAATCTCACTGATTATTTTGCATGCTATCTTGGGACCAAGCCCTATTTAAGCCAATGTAATTTATTTTTAAATAGGACGGCATGGTTAATAGGACTCGGGCCACTTTGTAAATAATTGAGAAGAAATACTTTCACAACCATATTATCTCTCTGGTATATATCTTTAAAGCTACCTAGTTTGTTTTTAAAAACAGCAACCTTAAGAATTTGAGAAAAAAAGGACTTCTTTAGTGAATGGAAGAGAGATGCTGTGTGTATGCGTGATTGAAATAATTTTTTACACACAGCCTCCCTAGTTAATTTCTGATTAACCCACTATCTATAACTGGAACAGTTGAAGCAGAATAACAGAGTTGGACGTGTTCTAGTCCAATCTTTTCAAGCTTTGGTCTTGCTTATTTATTTGATTTGATTTTGGTACCACCCAACTCCAAATTGACTTTGGACAACTCACATATGACAAAATAAGATTTTTTTAGAGGCAATAATCAGTAAATGATGAACAACCAAATAACCTAGATAAATACATACAAAATGCACAGCACAAGGCCTGATAAAACAGTCAGCTCTTGAAGTTCTTCTCGAGTATCATCAGAGTGGAAATCATCTGATTATGAGCCACAGTGGTGCAGTGATTAGAGTGCAGTACTGCAGACTACTTCTGCTGACTGCCAGCTGACTGCAATTTGGCAGTTCAAATCTCACCAGGCTCAAGGGTGACTCAGCCTTCCATCCTTCTGGGGTGGGTAAAATGAGGACCCAGATTGTTGGAAGCAATATGCTGACTCTAAACTGCTTAGAGAGTACTGTAAAGCACTGTGAAGTGGTATATAAGTCTAAGTGCTATTGTTATCCCAGGGGGACTCATTCCAAAGGGAATATAACAGTCATCCCAACAGGTGACAATGTCTAATTGAAGGGACTTGGTTGGCTCACTAGGATGGCTAGGCAGAAACCTCTGGAGATAAGTGGTCCTTTGATAAAACTCTGTTAGAACTCTTGGAAATTGGATAAACACTGAATCAACAGGATTCATTGAGATGAATGAAACTGCTTTAAAATGTGTGCTATCATTTCCAGCCAGCTCTAGATTATCAACAGCACTTAGACTTAAATACTGTTCCATAGTGCTTTAGAGCACTCTGAAAAGTTTATAAATGTCAGCATGTTGCCCTCAACAATCTGAATCCTCATTTTACTGACTTCAGAAGGATGAAAAAGTTAAGCCAACTTTGAATCCCATCAGGATTGAATCCCAGGCTGTGGGCAGAGTTTGCCTGCAATGCTGAACTTAATCACTGTGCCATCAAGTTGCAATTCCCTTTTGTACACTTTTCTTTCTGTATTTTCCTACAATTGCTCTTCCCCATTTGTATCTGTGAAGCACAGTTATTGACATCTGTTAGCTAACTGGAATCTAATACATTCTTTAGGATTCAAAAGCAATACACTGGAAACAGGGGGGAAATGCCAAAGAGTATATTTATGGAATAAAAATTGAAAAAAAATCAGAGAAATCCATATCCCTTCAGCAGGATCCAAATCCCAAGAATGGTGACAGATGGATTCCCCTGGAACTAAGAATCCCATAACAGCCTTCAGGACTTTGGGTCTACACTCAGGTTTAAATTGTGTGGGAGCTTTTGGCATCTTCTCAGTCAGGCCATAAAACTGAAAGCATCTTATGGAACACCTTATTGGACACTTGATCATAATTTTTAGACAGTGGAACCCTTGCCACAAATATTGTTCATTGAAGACAAGGTCTCTAGAAGACAACACCTGGGGATGGTCTAATGTTATGCCTTGGGAACCCAGATAAGTGACCCTTTGTTAATGAGAACATTGCTCTTAGGCAGCTATTGTTCCTCTTCCCTTGGCAGCTATTAGATTGAAGAGCTGGTGTTGTCCTCTATCTAAATGGTTACAAGCAGGAATACCGATAAGGAGCAGGCGAGAGTGATTAACAACATGCAATCCACACAACCTAAGCTCCTTTATGAAGGAATTTGCAATGCAAAGCAAGCCAAGTTACATATAACGTGTCTAAATAATCCTTTCTGCACAGGTACTTCCAGTATATATAAAGAGTCAAGGGGAGTCTATACCACTAGTCCTCACAGTTTTCTGGGAGAACCAAAGCAGGACCATTAAAAGAACATAACTGCATCCCTTCTAAAACTGCAATTTTGCAAAGTGAGATTACCTAGCTATGAAGTTTGCCATGAAAAGCAGTTGAACCCATGGAGGCAGAATTAATGGCCAGAATAACTTTGCGTACATTTGGAAACAAAATATAATCCAATTAGCATCATATGTTCTGGGTAAAATAATAACCCAAAGTCTACTCCTGTGGCCATTGCCACGATCAGTGGGAATTTCTTTCTTTTTAAGGGTGTGGAGTTACAATATGACTCCTAAAAGGTAATTTTCCCCTATTAAATGTCTTGCTGCCCCAACCTCCCAATAAAAGCAACAACATCCACCTGGTTTAGGATAATAAATGAGAATTAGCCTGGAGAGCTTTGAGCACAAAAAGTTAAACATTCCATGTCTGCTGAATCCTAGACTTTAATTTCATAATCTCATATACTTAGCTTCCACTAATGCTACTAGTTTGCTTCATGGAATTAAGATTTCTTTAATGTGTTTGAAAAGGAAAAATATATATTATTTTCACCACAGTTGCTTAAAATTAGGCAAGACAAAAAGGTAAAGACTAAATTAATTGTGACTCCTGGTGACTAATTTGAGGCATCCGTGTTATTTTCATGGCATCATAACAGAGATGTTTTTTCATTGGCTTCTTCTCAGATGATTTCTCAACTTACCATTCTAGCCTACAAAGCTTTGGCCTTTCCTGGTGGTCTTCCATCCACAGACTACTTAGATCCAACCCTGCTTAGCAATTAAAAAAACAAAACAGCCTCCAAAAGTTGGCTTGGTACTATTATCAGATCTGAGCTAGACTGTACAGCTATTTATAAACTATGTTTGTAACTTTTAAAAATTGGACAGTCACTTTAATATCTGCAATAGCCGAGATAGAAAATGCATTTATTTATAATGTATGAAATATTAGAGCGATTTCTCATTTCTCTGTCTCTTAGGCAAGTAATAGCATGGCATTTCAAGTAATGCATTTTCTTCGTTTTTTCCTTCCATGGGAAATGGAGTGAAAAGAGCCCTTTTGACATATACGCACACTTTGCAGAGACGCTCCATGTATGGAATTGGTGAAAGAAGCTCCTTTTTCATTATTATTACCAGTAAATCAAGGAGCATCTATCTGACAAAAGAGTGAGGGTTCCTCTAACTGCCACCATCCAGTATCATAATAAAGGCTGCCTCTGTGCATGAAAGTGAAGCAGAGGATGGAAATTACTACAGAGGCACTCATGAGGAATGAATCTAACTGATCTCCAGGGGAAAGTAACGGGTTGTAGAGATGCCTTCAAGTGCATTACTGCTATAACTGCTGAAGCTGATAACAGAAATAAGCCAATTTTCTTAAGGCAGTGTTGGAAGAAATGTCCATCTTGGTTCAGTTCCAAGTGAGGGAAAAGGCACTGGCAACATGGAGACTGTTTGGAAATATGATTTAATGGTGGATGGGATCTCACATGCCTGGGAACTCCTAGGTGAAAAAGGGCAATCACTTGCTTCAAGATGTTGGGTGAAGAAAACAGAAGACCGAGATGCTGAGAGTGCCTGAGTTTTATACCCTCCATTGGGCCCTACCTTAGTGTTTCCTGTTTCTGTGCAAGAAATGTATCCCATTGGCTGTCAAACTCCCAGGGGCTGGGCGGTCTTAACTAACTTTCTAGGCTTTGTCTGTGTTCCAGGCTTGTTTGAGTGCTGGCTGAAGGTGCCATGTGGTGAGATGGGTAGAGGGCTAGCTTTGTTATGTAGCATAGACTGGCTCAGGCCTTAATGGCCCATTGACAAAAATGTGGGGGTTTCTGCCTCTCTGAGTTTGTACTTCTCTTTTAGGGGAAATATTCTGCCTTTTTTTTTTTAGTATATCCTAAAATATTTCATTTTTTCTAGCAGAGGGATGGGTTATAACTTCCAACAGCAGGACCAATTAATTGAACAGCTTCAGTTATTTATTTATTGGATTTATTTATTTATTGGGTTTATTTATTTATTTATTGGGTTTAGTTATTTATTTATTGGGTTTAGTTATTTATTTATTGG